GGAATTGTCCTTAATTCCTTGTCTTCTAAGTCTTTTATATCATAAACACTTGTGTCTTGTAACTTTCCATTCCAGCAGTTGTGAAAGTAAGTAGTTCCGCTTTTGTCTATATATGCTGATCTGTCACGTATGTTATGTTGCAAGGCATAACTGCCATATGTTCCTGGCAGAGTTACAGACATAATGAGGAACTTGCTTGACTGCTTCATCACGTGGACACACAATGTTTAATCCCTTTAATGGACTTGTTTTACAGCAGAACATGTGTAATCCATCCACTGTGGGAGTAACCATTGAACCTGTTTACTGTATAAAGAGACCACCCTTTGTAATACTTCTTTGGGTCTTGCTTGACAAAGCCTGGCTCCCATATGCATATGCAATAAAGGCGTTTTTTGCTGCATGAACACCAGAGTTGCTGCCTTGTACCTGATACTACACTACCAGTGACCCTTCATCCTCTGATATGGGGATGTGTTGTCTTTTGACATGTCATAAGACGTCTATGAAGGTGGGTGGGTCAGAAAAGTCTATAGACACTTCCTCCAGCCCCAGCGTTGCCCTAGCGTTGTGAAGTAGCAATGTCAACCACTGCACCACCGTGCGGCCCCCACTCTGAAACAATGTCTTCAACATCACGAACATTCAGATCTTAACATGAGCACCTGTAACAGATTACAATTACTTACATTGTACATTTTGAACAGATTTCTTTATTCAGAACAGATTTTGTGCCTCCTTTTCCATTTCTGAATTTGAAGACTAGCCACACTTGAAACACATTTTTAAATATACCATTTGCCCCTTCGATTTTCAACATGCTTTTTTTATACACAAACACACACACCCATGTGATTGCAAAATGCCAGACCTGCCATGCAACATATTACATTCTGCAGCAAAGTTGCTTACAGGCAGTTTTGGAAATCCTCAAGACCACACAACAGTGGCCTTAGGACACATCTGTCCCAGTTTAAGATATGGGAGGTCCCTGTTATGAACTGTAAAAGAAACAATGCTTCCAAAAACAAAGATACTTTAATGTTTTTAAATGTAAGTGATTCATCATCATTCTTCTTTGAAAATGACATACTTTGTTTTATTGTAATTCACAATTATTTTTATGTAATTCGATTACATTTAATTAAAGAACAGCCATTTATTAAAAGCAAACCTATAAATTAA